CTTGTATAAACAGCAGTGATAATTAGTATTAATGTATATTGTCTTTTACAGGTTGGCCCCCATTCAAGTGGCAAGACATCACTAGTACAGCTTGTATCACAGTTAACAGGACACAGGCTGCAAGTGATACCAATGAATAGTTCCATGGATACCATAGAGTTATTGGGAGGGTTTGAACAGGTCAGTCACTTGATCCAAACATGTAATTTGTGTTGATTTATTTTTCGCTCTGTTTTAATGGTCACAGCTAACACAATTTTAAAACAGGAAACTAAGTCAAAAAAATAAAAAAAAAGAATTTGACTTCAGCCTTGGCAATTAACGTTTTCACCACCAGTCTGCATTTTCCTTCGGAAGTTTGGGACAAATATAGTCAATTTTTTTGTATAAAAATGGAAAATTGACTCACATTTTGTCTGTTGGCCCCAAAATTATGGTTCATTTCAAGAAATTTTGAGGACTATAAAAAAAAAAAGTGCAGAAAAATTTTGGGCCAGCAAGTCTGATGGTAAAAAGGTTTAAGGACACTAAAACTTATTTCTGGATTGCACGACACAGTTACCATATAGAAAAGATTCAAATTGTCAACTATTTGATAGACATGGACAACACTTGCAGGCAGTCGACGACACAGGCTCATTTTGGGCTTTAGTATGCAATCCAGAAATGGGAATATAATATTTGGAAAATTTTTTCTAGGCTGATTTGAATCGACACTGGGAACAGTTGGTACACTCTTTGAAGTCAGTTGTATTTGATGTCTTGAAAACGTTACTTCTGAAAAATGAAAAGAAATCTAAACAATATTCTAAAGATGTACTCACGAGATGGTCTACATTGATTGGTCTCAACCAAAGCCAACTAAGGACATCACAGGATGAAGAACGTGAATATAACGGTATATCAGAAACTAGTTTTGAAGAAATGGACAAAATGCTGAGTCTTGTAGAAAAGTGTTGTCAGAAGTTCAATGTTACGTTTACTGAAGGTGTGTATATTAAATTATTCCTTTATTTTGTATGTTATTTGTGCGAAATCGGGCACATCAAGGACCCAAATAAAGCTTTTTTAGAAATGATCACATAATCACTTATGTTTTACTTGTCAATGACTTTTTTTTTTGATAATAATAACAAGCTACTTATTAAACGAAGTAGCATGTCAAAATCATTTTGTTCTGTATCCAGGTCAGTTTCTTGTAACCCCAATAAATACTGGTAAATACAAAAGCAGCAGTAATCTGGCAGTATTGTAAAATGATCAATTCACAATCCTGTTGTTTAGCCGTTTTTTTTTTTCAGGCCAGCTTTCTTTCAGTTTCTGTTATTTCCATGAATAAAACAAGTATGATTCCCGGACTTACCAACCAATGTCAAATCATATTAATGTCTATCAAAATTATTCTGATCAATCTTGTTATGTCATCAGATGTATTGGTCTCAGTGATGGCAAGATATGAAAAATTGAAATCTAGGTTTAGAAGAGAAGGCAGTGGTCAAGGGAAAGGTGGTGGTCAGTTTGAATGGATCGATGGATTGTTAGTACAGGCCTTACAGAATGGTGATTGGTTACTCATTGATAATGTCAATTTCTGCAGGTATGCATTTTCTAAGTTAAAATATATTGCACTATTGAACCAATTTAGCATGCCCTGGTGAACCGTGGCTGCCCTGGAGGCCACTGGTGACCCGTGGCTGCCCTGGAGGCCACTGGTGACCCGTGGCTGCCCTGGAGGCCACTGGTGACCCGTGGCTGCCCTGGAGGCCACTGGTGACCCGTGGCTGCCCTGGAGGCCACTGGTGACCCGTGGCTGCCCTGGAGGCCACTGGTGACCTGTGGCTGCCCTGGAGGCCACTGGTGGCCCGTGGCTGCCCTGGAGGCCACTGGTGAACCGTGGCTGCCCTGGAGGCCACTGGTGACCCATGGCTTGTTAGTCTCCGTTCGGACAAAGCCATCGACTTTTTGGCCTTGCTACTATATTTCCAAGATTTATGTACCATTTTCATTCGTATTTGATACATACATAATACATGTCAGTTTGTTTCATAATCAGAGCAAAGATGGCTGAATAACGGCCGTTTTTATTTTTGGCCATATTACTATATCTCTGTCACCCATGTATCATTTTCATTGATATTTAGCATGTCATAAATGGATACATGTACATGTCAATTCAATTTGCAATTTGATCAAATATGGCCAACTGGCGGCCATCTTGTTTGTTTAAAATGTGATAATTTGGACATGCTTTCACTTTTGATCTATGTTTTTCTTTGCTGTCTTAAACCGGAGGGGTCGTCACGCAACACATGTTTGAATTTGATGTGAATAAATAATCCGTTGTATATGCCACTTGGGACTCAAGTTTCAAGGACACGCTTGTGACAACCCCTCCGCTTTAATATGACGAGCACAATAAAACCTTTCAAAAATTTAACAGGGACTGTGTCATTTTCAATGACTTGTTTATTTATTAATTCACTCTTTCATTTGTTTTTTGCAGTCCTTCTGTCCTGGATAGATTGAATGCATTATTAGAACCAAATGGAGTCTTGAGTATCAATGAAAGAGGTGTCATTGACGGTGAAATTCCTACAATAAAACCGCATCCTAACTTTAGGTGAGAACACATTCACTAAATTCTTTCCATGGACCCAGCTGTTGCTTCTTGATTCAGCATGTATATTTTGTCATAGATTTCATACATGGTACAGTCATGATGAATGTATTACATCAGAATCGCTATGATACCATGTGATTATCAAATATTATTCTGAACTGTACTAATGACCAGGCATTATTAACAAGATTTACTGCAATTAAAGACTTATTGTTTTAATCTAATTGATGTTTATTTCACATAGATTAATATTAGCAATGGACCCAAGACATGGTGAAATATCTAGAGCAATGAGGAACAGAGGAGTTGAAATATACATCCTTGGAGAGGTATAATTGGAATTATTGAATATTTATCAAAAACAAATGGACTTGTAAGACGCACATACAGATTCTGTAATGTGATTGGTCAGAGGGGTTTACGCAATCTTACGTTGTTAGTACAAAAACACAGGGAAAACTAGTCATCTAATCCCTTCAAAAATAGTTCACATAACAGCACAATAAGAATTCTACTGCGCATATGTTACACTCCAGACTGTGCACACAAAAAAGATTTAAATAAACAATAAGCTTTATCGTCGTACTTCCTTGATTCGGTATAATTCTGTTGTCTGGACTTGAGAACAGTTGCGACCATAGAGGGCGCTGTAATTCTAATGATAATAATTATAAAAATATAGTATGCAAAGACACATCAAATACATTGACCAAAAGCCCCGAGAAGTCAGGATGTGTCGTTTATTCGTTATTTGACACTGTCAT